CTTGTCTGATTTTTGTCTCTTCCAACTTTTGGTGGCTGCTGGCATTCTTTACCTTGTAGCTGTATCACAGCTCTCTCACTTTGCCACATTGCCTCCTCTCTGTGTGCCAAGGCTCTCTCTACTGCTCCCTTATTGAGGCCCACTGTGACGCTATCCTGGGGTCCACCCACATAAGCAAGGATAATCAACTTATCTTTAAGATTCTAAACGACATCTGCAAAGGCCCCCATCCCCCATAAGGTAGCAGTGACAATTTCTAGACATATCAGATGGATGCCTCTGGGGACATTATCAGTCCCCCTGGAGTGATATCTGGGGATTTGCATTTCTAACAGGTTTCAAGGTGAGGTTGATGCTGTGAGTCCTGGGACCTCACTAAACGAACCAATGACCCAGTGACCTCCTGAATACATGAAATTTGGCTCCAACGTGCTCTTCTCCATGAAAACTTCCTTTTAGCTTCCAGGTGACTTTGATCATCTTCTCCTTTGTATCACTTCTCTGCCTTGAAATTTCCTTCTAACTTCTTCATCCATCACAAAATATATCTTTTTGTTTAAGTTTCTCTAATTTAATACACTGAAATTCTTCCCTTTTTTTAAGTTTCCAAAACCTAATCTGTTACATAATAGGTGTTCAATAAATTGTCAGTGCTAAGAATTGAAAGGCCAAAAGAACAAGGAGATGTTCTTAATTCTATTCAGAACTAATTCAATGTGAAAACTATCACCAAGTGAGCAATGCTAGCTTGCCTTCTGATATCCCATTATTCTTTCAACATTGTTCGGAATTAACAGCATTTCACCATTTCATTTTCATTGATTTCAGATCATAGAAAAACCACTGAGGAGCTCCAAAAGCTGGGCTTTGTGGATCATTATTATTCCAGCTATAATAGCTATTCTCTCATTTCTCTTCCAAGAAGAACTAGCTCCAGGTGAAATTGTGAAGAAGGCCCAGTATGTAGCAATAAGTGCAGTTGGCTGCGCTGCTTTCTCCACAAGGAACTTTTATTTCATGCCTGAAGTTGGTCTCCTGCTCCATGATCCTTGCTAAGCTATGAAACTCTGAAGGCAGAGGAGGCTGTATTCCTCTCTGTGTTCCTAAGGTAGCTGGCACAGTGCCCGGCACATGGGGGGCCCACAGACTTTTTTCAAAATTGAAAGGAATCTGTATGAAATTAACATGGAACTTTTCCTCCACCTTTGTGGCTGGCATCATTAGTGTCTCCAATGGTAAAAATCTAATTTCAGGCAGCTTCCTGCTGGGGCAGGCTGGAAAAAAGGAGCCATCCAGAGTTCTCTTCTTTTGCCCTTCAACCCTCAGACTAGAAAGCTCTTTTCTGCAACTTTATATTCTACACAGACAAATGATAGTCACAATTCATGGTTAATTGCAAATGTTCTTGTTCCTGAAAATAATTGCTTAATTTCCTTCATTGGGAATTTGTTCTTTCTTTTCCAATCCCTCAAAACTTTCTGTTTAAAAATCAATAAATTTCTCTGTGTTGACCACACATGTAACTATTTCTTCATTCATTCTGTAAATATGTCCATGTACATAAATCCACAGACCTGGCCTACTGTACTAGATTATATGCCTATTTAAGTCTTCCCCGGACCCAATGACAAAGGAATTAGTGCAAACGCTTCATACTAAAATAGTGTTGATTTTAAAATGCATCTCTTTCAGAAAAGAAAAGAGAAAAGAATGAAAAAGGAACCAATAATTCCCTATCCAACCATAAATGGAAGAATAACTAATGCCTCTAAGGAGCTAACCGTGTGCTGAATTCAGTGCTTTATGTATTTTATGTCATTTGACTCTCATCTCCCCACTGTGGATATAAAAACAATCTTTATTCCCTTAAGGGGAAATGGCTATGGAAAAGATCAAATGGTAAATAAGTGGTGGAGTGAGCACTTGAACTCAAGTGCTTCAGCTGGGCTCCCGAGTTTGCAACTTTAAACAATGAATTTATGTTTAATCAACATATGATAACATGTGGAGAGAAAAACGTGTAGCCTGATCAATTTTCAACAAAAATGTTCACATAACCCCCACTGAGATCAAGAAGTCAGACATCATCAGGATCATACCATCCCTTTTGCTTCACCTTGATTTTTGCCCCCTCTTCTACCCAAAGACCATAACAACCTTCCTTTTTAAAAATCAATATTCATTTGCAATAATTGGTAAAACTAGTTTTTAAAATCTTTCACAAACATAGATACTCTTTTCCATTTCCATTACATAATTCATTCAATATGACATTTGTGACATGAATATTGTGAATGGTGACATATTGTGAATATTGTGGTGGTTGTGTTCATTAATTTCCTCATTAATGGTATTCTATTGTATGATTATTCCACTATTTATCTAGTTTTTGTTAATGGACATTTGTGTTTTCTCCAGGTTTTCAGTAGTAGAAATAAGTGCCCCATTAGTATTTTTGTAGGCATTTTGTGGTACATATATACATGTTTTGCGTAGACCTTCTTAAGGATGGTGCTGATGGGTTATAGGATATGCATATATTTAATATTAGTACATATTGCTCAGTTTACACAGGGCTTATTCTAATTTATATTCTCCTGCTAAAGATCCTAAAGTTCCAGTTGCTCCGTAGTGTTGCCAACATTTGTTATTATTAGTTGTTTTAAATTTAGCCATAGGTGTGGGTCATGGTCTGTAAATTTGACAATGTTATGCTTTTGGTAGTGGGAGGACCTCTACCTTCCTGGGAATTTATCACAGACTTAAAATCAAAGAATCAACCCGCAACACACCTTTGCATTTTCCCGTCCACTCCTGCTGTCATGCTTGCCTCTGTTTCCCTGTGCCTTTGCTTTTCCACACAGACTTTACACTAATCTCTCTGTTGTGACTGCACGGTCTGCTTTTGGCTCTCTATAATTATGATCTATTATTTATTAATTTCTAACATATCACCTGAATGGATCTTATTAATTCTTTAAACACCCATGACATGCTTGCCTGGGCAACGTCATGTCAAACAAGGATTATTAGTGCAGCTTGGAAAACTCAATCAATTTAGCACAGATCCTTTCAAATGGAGATGACAGCAATATTTTATCCACCCTTGCAAAGCAAGCTTTGAAGCATGGCTCCCTTCCTCACTTCCTCATCAGTTCTGATATATATATATGAGACAGAGTTTCACTATGTAGTTTTAGCTTGACTTGAACTCACTGTGTACCCCAGGCTGGCCTCGAACTTGCAGCAATTCTCCTGCTGCTCTCACTTACTAATGAAAGCATCACCTTTGTCTCAAATTTGTTTGTTTAATATTTTTTATTTATTTACTTTTTGATCTGTAAAATGAAAAAGCATCTCCTCATGGGGCTGCCGTAAGGATGTAATAAGACAGTCCTAGGAATGTATTTGTCACATAGGGTATGCTCACTAGATAAGAGCTCTTATTAGTGTACTCTGTGAAGAGACACTATTACCCTCATTTTACAAAATGTGGAAACTCAGAGAGTTGGACTTGGCTGAGATTGTATTGGGCACACATGATAGAGATGGCATATTCACCTAGTTTATTGCAACTCTAGAATATGTGACCATTAGCTGGTCTGACAGCTGTATCTTCTGTATCCTCACTGAAATCATGAGTGCAATGTCAACAATAAAGAACTCTGCAGAAAGCTGGCTGGCATAGACCTTCTTTCTGTTCTTTTCAGACAAGGTCATTAGGTTTCTTTGAGAACTGTCCTTCAACCAGACAGACATTCCTTGCTCCAACTTCAAAATATGAAATGCAGAGAGACTTTAACACATGCTTTAGTGGGTTTCATTTACTTCAATTCTATAAAATGGAAACAATAATCTTTGAATCAATTTTTTTGTGTGTAAACTATTATTCTTAGTCATTACGGCTTGATTTTCTAAAAAATGCTATCACCTATTAACCTATTCTTTTATACACAACCGCTTTGGGGAAATATCAACAACCTGAAAAAAACATGTTAGTTTCATCCTTCTAAGTTAAAAGTGAGAATAAATTCGTGGCAAAGTAGCACAAGTAGATGGAGGAGATTTCTACATGATGCCACTGACATACTGACAACGTCTTGATTCAGAGTGGTTCATGGGCAGGTATGCAGTGGTTCGGTAATAGTCACTGGTAGCTAGGGGGGCATCCATATTTTTATTTTAGTTCTAAAGCCAATAAGCAGTATGCATGACAGTTTTAGAAATAAAATTATAGTCTGTTTTCTGTTATGTCATAAATTCTAGAAGGTTTCTTTTAATCAAATTGAGAGTGGAAAAAACCCTCTGCTAGAAAGCTCTAACCTAGTAACAGGATCAGATCTAAGACTCCTGACTTAATTAAATCAATAAACATTTAGTAGATGTCCAATATGTATTAGGAAATGGGGATTAAAAAGCTAAATAAGTTATTTTCCTTGACCTTGAGAAGTGTGCCACATAATGGGACGGAGTGATGTGTAAGCAACTAATGAGAACACGGTAGAGTAAGTCTATAATGAAATAAGCTACAAAGTGCAAGACATAAACCAAGAAAGAGTAAAGAACAAAGAGATTTGACCTGGACAGTTAGATCATGGATCGGCCAAAGTCCATTCATTCCTAGTGCCAAAGTCACAATAAAAACATCCCATTTTTCCAAATTTTTCTTTTTCACAGTTCCTCAATATACTGATAAGAAGTGCTTTTCATATATGATAAACTCATCAGTAATCCATAAAGTGCCAGATAATGTTAGCTCTTTTAGATTTTATAAAAACCCCAAAGGCAAGCAAGGACTTTGAAATGGAAGGCACTGGGGCACAGCAGTGAAGTGCACTATTAGGAGTTTAGGAGGACAGCGTACGTGACAGTGTTCTGGTCATCAAGTGGGCTGCTGCCTCCATCAGCAATACAGAGATCACTTCTTCAGAAGAACCCTTGTGATCCCAAAACAGAAAGATTTCCAGAGCTCCGAGAAGTCCTGGAGGTGACTTCCCTACCTGACATCTGCAGGGTCTTCTGTGACGAGCACATCTGTCTTACAGCTCGCCAGGGGGTTGATGGACAGCTGCACAGGCGGGACCACGAAGCTTTTGCTGACAGGAAGCCAGAGGCCTTGGCCCAAGCTGAAAGTAGACCTGCAATGTAAGAGTTTCCATTGGGGACCTCCCTGGGAAGCAGAGAGCAAAAGAATACAGGGGCCCCTTATCCCATCCCTTACAGGACATGTTCTCACTTCTCCACCCAACCAAGACCCCCTATCTTCCCCAAGGCACAAGGTTGGATCCGCATTTCTTAAATCTCTTCAGCATTTAGCCCATAAATTACTTTGTACTGCTAATTTTTTTTTCTTGAGTAAACAGTGGACTCTGAAGACAAGGACTATCCCAGCTGCATTTGCCCACAAGTGTGATACCCAGCAGGAGCTTCATAAGTGACTGCCAGGTCCACAGGAGCAATCCGGCAAAAGGTTAAAAGCATAGACTCCAAATCAATTCAAAGCAAGGTCTGATTCCCAGCTCCACCACTTAATTTGCTGTATCTTTAGCTGCTTAAGTATTGAAGTCTTAGACAAGATTTAGTGGAACTAGTGGGAAGAGGGTCTATGGCTACAGAATATTTTTAAACCACTAGAATAATCAGTAAAGTCTCCTCCAGTTCAAGTACCTGAGTCTGTAAGTCTAGATGCTACACAAATGGGAATTAGATTCCCATAGTATCCTGGGTTGAGATGGTGTTTCATCATTGAGAGTTCTCCTGTACTCAGTACAGCTCTGAAATGCACAGGGTCTATAGTTTCAGGACTCATGACATCACCTTCTTATCAGACCTTTCTCCATTCCCCAGCAATGTTCCCTCAAATGACTGTCAACTCACCTGAGAATCTTTTCAGGGGCTTGCTCCCCTGTCACCAGATCATAGCCCCTCTCAAGTGTGGTATAAGGCCAAGGTCTGTGAAAAGAACAGGAGGAAAAGAAGAGGGGAGAGAAGATGACATCAGTCAGAAGCAAGTGGAATTCACATGCGAACACTGCTCAAGACAAGCAAATTCCACAGAAGTCATTATTGGGAAGGACTTTTTACATTACAAGAAGAAAAGCCTCCATTTAATAGAAGGACTTAGCACTTTATTATAAAGTTCACTTGTCCATTTCTGAGTTTATGCACAAAAAAATCTGACTCCTCCTCATTCACTTCAGGAAGTAGTCATTGATTACTTCCTATCTGGGTGGGTGACTTAAATGTCAGCCCTTGTTCGCTAGAAATTCATCAGTCATGTACCTTTAATACAAAAACCTGATTCAGTGGGACAGCAGAGTTCCCTCTTACTGAGGGTCGTCTTTGTGGATGAGTTCTGGGACTCTGATAATACAACAAAGGAGGCGGGGACCGCTCCTCCCCTGTCCCAGCCCCAGGTCCCATTCCACTCACCCTTCACTCTGTCCCCAGTCATTGCGCACACATAGGTGTCTGTGAACAGGGTCAGGGGCGTAGCCTTCATGACAGCTGCATTCTCCTGGAAGCAAAAGAGAAAGGAATCTTGTGAAACACTGCTCCCTGAAATAGGTTTCCTGTGTCTCCTGTTTTCCTGGAAAATAAAATGTGCTGCCTTGGTTTAGAAAAGATCCATGAAAAAGGGTGTTAGGGTCCCTTGACCACAGTGGTTAATAAGAGTTTATTGTTCATTCGTGTTCATTCGTCTGTTCACTCACTCATCTATTCATTCGACAAGACCTCACCACACTCTGCCAAGCTCTTGGCTCAGCACTGAAAACATAGAGACCAAAGGAGCAGGCCAGGGGTTGAAGGAACTCATAGCTCAATGAAAGAAGCAAAAAAGAACCAAGTGGCTACAGATGGAGGCCTATTTTCAAACAATAACGTTATGATAAACACTATTTACTTAAAACTTATAATCAGATATTCTAACCACCTACATGAGCAAGTTGTGCTCATTCATAAAAATTAATTCAAGTGCCTTTTCCAAGAAACTTGTTTTCTCTTTTTGGGAAAATTGTTCTTGATTTCAATTTCCTAATTTTATTTTGCTTTGACTTTTTTTAATATTTTGAAATTTTCTTCCTATACCCTCTCATTGTCTTCCAGTCTCTTTCCTTCTTTGTATTTATTACTACTCTTGATCTACTTGTCTTTTTTCCCTTTGGGTATGCCACTGTCTGGTTGCACGAATGCTTACTGCCTTAGGAATATCCAAGTTCACTTCAGCTGGCCACTGCACGTCCCATTTCCTAGTGTATCTTCAAAAGCTCATTATCCTGGAGGGATTTTCAGAAGCTCTCTGGCCTGTCCTCTGGCTATTAATCATTTCTGCTCTACTGTGCACTTCTTAAGTGAATTTTTGAAGCAATTAGTTATTACTTTTTTTCAAAAGTATACTTTTGAAATATTCACAGATGCTTTACCAAAAATAGGCTTTATAAAAAAATAATTTTAGGAAAAGTACACCTTTCTTTAGAGACAGTGGAGTATGATTCTCCTTCGTGGTGATACATATGATTTTCCCCAAATCTATTTTACATTGGGAGACTTGCTGCTGGAACAGCTCACAGGATTAGCATCCTTTGGAACACATATTGATAAAAGCTGATAGGAACTACTCTGCCCTAGCCTACTGCCTAGAAAAGAATAAGCACTCTAGCATGTGAGGAGAATGGATAACTGTCTGTATGGCTCTGGTAAATTTCCAGGTTATTGCTATGGGACTGCCTTCTTTCACATCTTCCGGTGATCACACACACACCACACACACCACACACACACACACACACACACACACACACACACACACAAAGGCAACCCTTCCATCCTATAGTCCTACACTGATTCTGATTGGCCTGACCCAAAAGATTTCAAATCAGGCCCATGAAATGTATTGTTCAATGTGGCAGATTTAAGGGCTTACTTTTCAGTTTTTGATCTTACTTTTCCTTAAAGTTTCATTTTTAAATCTCTTTGAAAACTAAAAGATAAAGGATAAACATATATCACATGCCAGAATTAAGGTCACTGGAGAGAATCATTACACTAAGTCAGATTGGCAGGTAAATTTATTTTACAGTCATTAGAAAAAAAGTCATCTTTTTTTCGTTGAAAAGTGTGCTGAGACTGTGAATCCAAGTTCTGACAAGCTCATGCCATTTGCATTTCCTTCACCCTGTGCAACCCAAACAAAACGCTCTGGTGAACAAGATACTAGGGTGGTATCAAGATTCTATAACTATCACCCATAACTCCTGATTTTCAAATGTTTGTACTCATGATATGACCCTACTGTTTTCACTGGTAAACTATGCACGTTATACATTTGGCCTTGAGTGAAGCATTCTGAGAGCTAAAAAAAACTGCAACATGTTTTATGTATCACAATGCTGCTTAATCTTTGTACCCCCTAGTCCTTAGCAAGTATTTGCCAAATAGTTTGGGTTTCATAAATATTGGTTGAACTGAAATGGAGTAAGACAGAATATGGAGTGAAGAATGAATCAGAGATAGTATCTGAAATATTCAGAATAAGACTGTTAAAAGACAGGAGAGATAGAATAGAGAGCTCTACTTTTTCTCTTCACTGGGTACTTGGTAAGCTCTCAGGGGGCTGCTCCCAGGCAGGATGCTCTCATACCCTCCCCTCCACCTGCATGCCAGGGGTCTTCTGCTGAGGGGCAGTGCTATAAGCACCCCTGAATTCGGCCACAGGTAAGGGAAGTGGTAGGAAAGGGCTTAATACCTTGAATTTGGATAGGTGTAATTCACCAAGGGGAGGGGAAGTCACTAATGATGTGTTAAAATGCAACAGCTCCTTCATGAAATATTCACCACTTTAAACACGTCTAATATTAAAGATTAAAAGTCCTGGGATTTGTCCTAGAGACTCTCGGGACTGATTTATGATCTGCCAAAAGCCACAGACCTCATGATTCATAATGGGAGAGGTAATGGTTACTCCTGGCAAAGGGACAGGAAGTCAGGTAGGGGTGGGCAAAGGAGACGCCCCTCCTTCCTTCTGGAAAGGGCAGAGGCTGAGGAGCCAACTTCTCCTGTCAGTGATGGAGCAGCAAAGTCTGAAGTTCAATCTTCCCTCCCTCTTTTTGGAAATATTGGTGACAGCAGGAAATCTATTCAGGACAAAAGCGCTGCTACATTTTTCTCTTTCCTCCCTGTGTGCTTACTAAACAAGTTTTCCTTGACTCAAAATGGATCATTAATTATAGTCATTCATTATACAACAAATATGTATTTTGCAAATGAGAAGCAGCCACCCAAGGGGCCCCCATAAGGCTGCCTGGAGAACAGGAAGTCTGCAGGGGAAAATCCCTCAAGGGCTGGAAGAGGCAGGCAGACTGTAATTCAACCTTCACGTTTACTCTCTCTAGCTGTGTGGCCCTGGCAAAGTTACTTTTGCTCCTTGGTCTCAGTTTTCTCATCTATCAATGGCAATCATAGCGATGTATCTCACAGAGAAAATGGAACAGTGAAGAGTAAGCTCCCAGGTCAGAGAGACAACGAATTGAGTCAACGAATCAGTTCTCTCTCCTTTTCTTTTATTCCAAGACAGTCCCATCCCTGATATGTGTTTATGCTGACATATTAATTCTAGGGACACAAGCATTTTCCTATTCTCTGTGCCTTAATTTCCCCAGCTGCAAAACAGAAGGTTGGAGGAGGTGTCCATCAATTCTGAGCACCAAGAATCAGTTGTTTGCATTGCCTTTCCAAATCTCTGCCCTTTGATCTCTGGGCACAATTTTAGCTTTAGCTGTGATCACTCTTAGCAGTGGGCTGGGTGTCTGTGGGTGGATCTCCATCAGTGCCATGACTTTTTGCTTTGTTGACTCCTGTTTCCTATTTTGCTGACTCAGCTAACTCTCCCTATTTGCAAACAAGCTTTTCCTTCTTGTAAGATGTGAAGCCCTGACCACCAGCAGCGCTGAGGGTTTTTAAACCCTTCCCTGAATAAATCCTTTCTCCAACTCTGTCTCTGCATCCTCAGGGCACTCAGACTGTCAAAGAACAGTCTCCTGGGACATGTGTTATTATGCTGATTACAAATGCCTTTGCTCCCTTGTCCCTACCTCTACAACGGAAGTCCTTTAATAGAAGGCATGGTCTTAATCTTTTTACCACTGCATTGCAACACCTGCTGCTCTGCCTGGCACAGAGTAGACATTCAATAAATAGCTTTTAATTAATCTATTATAATTACTGTTAGATTATATATTATAATTACTATTATATTTCATAATGGTAATGTCTTTGGCAATAGGATAGGAAAATAATTTTTTATTTGCCTGCTTTCCCCAGTAGACTGGAAAATGTATGACTGCAAACTTTTTCTTAGTCATCTTGCAGCTTAATAAGTAGTGTCATACCTGATAGAAGGTAGGCAAATCATTTGTTGGATAGAGGGATGGATGGGTGAATTAGTGAATGCACAAATATATTGTAAATGCAAGAATCGAGGCTGTGTTAATTTAGAATAATGATGACTCTGCTGAAGACTAGAAGAAATTTCCATCCATGATGGGTATTTGCCAAGGAAACGGAGACTGTAAACATAAGTGCTGATGAGATGTCTAAAATAGAATTCTATCTCACATCGGAGCAGAGAGGCTCTTAAAGGTCCCCTAGTTCAGATTTTTCTCAGTTCATTTTTTTAGAAGGTTGAAATAAATCTCAGGGAGGAAAGGGATTTAGGATTTTCACTGGCCCAGCCTCTGGGCCAGCGGGATTAGAACGCAGGGGCTCTTGGACACCACTCTGAGTGTTCTTTCTGATGTCCGGGTGTCTCAATCCTTCAGTGCATCTTGAAGCCTTTTCTAACAAAGTTTTGCCCTTAAGTCCTCTGACATTTTGAGTTTCCTAGAATGAGAATATTACATTTCTAAGCAAGAACTGTGAAAAAAGTAAAATGAATTTGTAATATCCTTAAGTATATGAAAACACACATTTGTGTGTGGTTAATAATGCAGATTTTTAAAAAGTTGAACGTCTTCATTAAAATAGTTCCCATAAGGGGATTCAATGAAGTGTGTTTCCATCCTCCTGGTTACTAGAATTTGGTATCATTAGCTATAGATGAGCTGTGTTGGCTTTAAAGTATTTACTCCCAGGTTGCATTTGTCGAGTTCTCCTTTCATTTTGTAGACATTCTCAGTCCATAAAGTCTCAGATAAAAACAACAGAGTCCCTTGATCACCAGCACTCTGACTTTATCTCATATGGTGCTTTTCCCAACCATCTAAAAGTGGGAAAATTACCTAAGGCCAATTGGCTGGTGAAACAGTTCAGAATCTGGGCCTTGGGATCATCTTGTTCTGGATTCAAATTTGAAATCTGCCACTTAGAATCTGTATGAAATTGATCAAATTGCTTCCTGTCTTCCTGGGCCTCTTTCCTTTCTGTAAGGAGGCTGATATCATGTATCTGCTGGAAGTTCAAAAGGCATATTTGGAAAGTGCTCAGCATAGTCTTTGGCACACTTCTTATTGCTGAAAATAA